CGCGTGATTTTGAGGGGCAGGGCCTGAGGTCCACGCCACCACCGACGCGCAGGTGGGTGGGCGGTGCCACAGCCGCCTCAACCACGTTGGTGCGCCAAACAGCGTGCTGGCACGAGCAGCTCTGGTCTGCAGGCTGGATTGGCAAATGCTGCCCGTTGTGTGCGCAGGTGCGGAGCGGCGCCGTCGCTGAGCGGGTGGCTGTCGAAGGCGTCATGCTGCAGGTGAGGGGGGCGTATGAGTTGAAAGCAGGGCGGGGCTCGAGGGCTCTCGCGGCGCGTGCGCGCGGCGGCCTGGCTCTGCACGCCTGCCGCCTGCTGCCTCCCTGTCTTCCTTTCTTCGATCTTGATTTCACAGTACTCCTGCGCGCCCTGCTGGGCTGCCCCCAAGCACTGCGCCCCCAACCTCCTCCTATCCCACCCTGCCCTTCGCAACGGTGCCGACCCCGCCCCGGTGACGTCACTCCGCGTCACCTTGCAGTATGCCGTGGACACCCAGCTGGACGAGCTGCTGGCGCGGCTGTTCCGCGCGCTCACTGAGCCGCCGCTGGCGCTGAACCCCTACCCAAAGCTGGTGCACATGATACGGGTGCACGCGGCACGGCTCGACCTCTGGAGGGTGCGCGCGCGTGCGTGTGTTTGTTTGTGTTTGTGTGTGTGCGTTTGTGGACGCTTGTGCGCATGCGCGCGCCGTGAGAGCTAATTTGTGTGTTTGCAATCATGAACGCATACAAAGATGCACTGCGCGAAGCGTGCTTGGGTCGTGGCTGGTGCGAATGACGGCCGTGCAGGGCAGGGCTGGGCCGAGGTGTAACCCAGCTGGTCACAGTCTGTGCGAAGCACGGGTCCTGTACGTGCAGTGGAGGGCAATGCGACTCCTCCGGCTGGCGGGTGGCGACCGCACGGATTCCCCCCGAAGGGCTATATGACGTGAGCGCCGTGCTGCCAACAGCGTGCCGGAGCACGGCTTCCCCACAACACACACACGCACACACACACACACACACACACACACAACACACAACACCACACACAACACACACACACAACACACACACACAACACACACAACACACACACATAACACACAACGCACACAACACACACAACACACACACAGGACGACATCCCAGAGATGCGCTCCTGCACCCTCAACAGCCTCACCCTGCTGCAGCCACCTACGTTCATTTACGAGGCCCAGCCGCCCCCCGCCCGGGCCCACGCTGCCGGCTGGACCCACCAGCGCGCGCGGGGCGGCCGCCGCGGCGGCGGCGGGCCGGTGGGTCGGGGCGTGGGGGACGCGGAGGAGGATGAGTACGATGAGTCGACGGCGACGTTTGGGTGCTACGCGGCGGTGACGCTGTGCGACTGCAGGTGCGCCCAATCCTTGTGGCCTAGTTTGGTGGCGAGCTTGCACTCAAATTGTGCATGTGAGAATGGTCGAGTCCCCTGCGGTGCTAGGGGGACTAGAATGCAGTTGTAGGTGCCAAAAGCAATCTGGTGTCGCAGGCCAAGCAACCCATAAGCCGCCAGGCGCTTGGTTTTCAGCCTGAACCATGGCACATCCAACAAACCATGCATGTGCCCGCCCAGGGCGCTGCAGGCGCTGCGGGCTAGCCTGGGGTCCCTATTGGCGGAGCGCGCCTGGCAGAGCGGCGGCTACACCGCCGACGTCGTGCCCGCCCTGACCGGCGACGCGGCGCTGAGCGGCGCGCTGCGGCTCTGGGACGACGGCGACGCCGGCGGGGGCGGCCGCGGCGGGGG